CATTGGGTTCCATTCTCCAATATTGTGCATTGCCTTCTTCATTTACAATTTGCTTGGTTGTGCTCTCTTCCAGCTTTCTTCAAGCAGCTGAAGCAGACGTGGTTGGCTTTGGCTGCTTTCACTCCTTCATCATAATTCATGGCTGCAAGCTTCTGGCATTGGTCTGGCCAGTGGGAAGAATTAGAACAGAACCAACACTTGTGCCAATCTTTTCTCTCATCGTCAACTCTGCCACCAACTATATTCACATGGCGACAATTTGTTGTACCGCTTCGTACTGGAGCTATTGCTCTCATACGAGATTTCATCTCCACGGACATCCAACTCATTAGACGATAGAGCGTTGCTGGTTGCTTTTCTCTTTCCAGATCTGTGGACCAAACCTTTCTGTCGCTTGCACACATTCTCTTTTCGATAATGGACAACATGTGACTGTTGTTCATTCACTTGGAATGCCAACTTCTTTCAAAGTGTTATAGCAGCGATTAACAAGGTGCACGAGATCGCAGAAACGTGCAATCGTCTCCTTCTTGCAAGGCTTTAAGTTGTACAATGTCCTGAGTGATCGTATCGGATACATATCGTACATCGCCGTATATAGAGTCTAAGTACTCCCATGCTGCGTCATAGTCTGATCCAATCCCGTTAATGAGGTCAAGCGGTTTATCCTGTAGACAAGTGCGTAACAAAGTTATCGAGTCTCGCTTGCTGTATCGCGACTCAATCTCGTGTTTAAAGTCAGCTTTAAAAATTGCATACTCTCGCACGTCTCCTGCAAACGGAAAGTTTTGGCTTTTCCATTTGAAACCCGCATGAGCTCGCATTGATGGTAGTTCCTATTTGCGTATTAACTGGGCTTTGATCGGGGGCTACATTATGATTAACTTGGTTTTCTACAGGTACATTTTCTTGACTAGGAGCAGTGCTTGACATATTGTTAACAATATTACTGCTTTCATCATTCACACTTTGCTCGGAAATGTCTACACTTGCGGTATTTTGGCTTGTTGTCAACTCTAACGCGCTTTCTTCGCTCTGCATTCCTGACATTCCAATCATTCCTGAAGATTGTAGCACATTATTGCTTAAATCTTTCGCTGGTTTAACAACGCTTTCGATATAATACTTGCCCCTACGTCTACTTTCAGATAATACTTCCTTCTCAAACTCTCTGTTGTCTGTTATTAAGCTGGTAAAGGCTTCATGTTTCAATACTAAGTTCTCAATGCTAAGTTCTCAAACACGTTCGTGAATTTTAATAAAGCATCTCTTACCTCGTCTGTCGGTCGCTTGTTCGAAACTAAGTGCTCCACCGTTTTACCTTGTCGAGTAAGTCCTGCTTTAGCCATGCGTCTGTTGATCTTTGAGGTTTTGATGCCCTATTCGGCCATTGTTTATCGCTTACGATCCATGATTACAAATAACAAGAAATCGAATGATATGGTTCGCAAAGTCGATAAATCAAACACGTCGACTGGATATTGCATAATGTATTATTGAAATATCAAAGAAAACAATACGATCTAAAATTAAATTAAACTATGTAAAAGACTAATATTTAACTCTTTCTCAACAGGCCCAAAATTTCATACTTTCGGTTCAGTGCATGCTATGAAGACAGAAATACCACCATTCGATTCAGAAATAAAATATCAACTAGTTCCAAATGATAGTTATAGTCATTATTAGTATTGTAACGATTTATGGGCCTTTGAAAGTCAAAACGATCATATTGTATCAAATTACACAATTGTCTGAACAAAAATACAGATTATTATAGACTAGCCATACCTTTCGCCGAAAATAACTTCGGCCCCATCGAACATATCGTCTTTGTAATAGTCTTGTTCGAATCCCCATTAAATAGTGTTTTTGGAGTGTTATTTGCAACCCTGAATCTACAAATCTGTATCTTTTATCAATATATTTCCATTTCTTGTCCGACTGTGAGCTCGAAGTGAATGAATCCCAACCGGAAATACGACTGAAAATCGTCAAAACAATGCGGCGTTTGTATCGTATGACCCTGGAAAGGCCAGAAATGGATTCGCAAGGTCAAATTGCACCTACACGCGTGAGTTTGACGTCATCCCGGCCAAAGGAGCTTCTTATTGGCCAATTATTGCGCAATGTACACAAGTGCGAGTAAAACCTGACATCTTGAAAAATTCAAAATAAATATTTCTAGTCGGCGTATACATACGAAACTTTCTACACGAAAGCGCTTGAATACAGAGATTATTTACACGTATAGCCGTTCAGCAAATGACGAAAAGTTCAAGGGGTATTCAAGATCTTGTGGATATGAAATTTAGAATCTTTGGCCAAGCGGTGAGTAAATATATGATTGTTTCACTTTGTGTAATGTTTTGACGGCACTTGACTCCCCGTTCGAAAGGTTATTTTATGAGGATTTCAATGGTGGCATTTATTTAAAAGGGGGGTAAATACTCGCCGAGATATTTATATTAGAAAAATTGAATCGAAATGTAATGCGAAACCGGCCTGTTGAGAAGGAGTTAACATGCAATGATACCTATAAACGTGCATATGATGACAATTAATATTTACATGATAATATTACTTACTTCTGTGGCAATATCTAGTACTTTACACTGTTTTACATATCCAGGTTAGCATAATCTCCGTATAAACGTTCAAACTACAGGTTAAGCAATCAGTTTTCAGGTCAGTATAAATTACAGATCTCGGTACTATTTCAGTTTTTCTGTTTCATGCATTCATGCAGGCATCTGGTTATTCTTGCACTATTTTGACATGTGGCCTAGCATCATATTTCTAAATGTCTATCAAAGTATTTCTCAATCCTTTATTAGCTGACTATTATTAATGTTTAGTCTATATAGAAATGTTAACAGAACAGTTTTTAATCGTACTATCAGTACTCGTTTATTGAAACACCGATCGCTAGCTGGTTTATAGAAAAGTGTAATTTAATCTTTGATATCAAACATGGAATGTTGGATACCCGGTCGGGATGGGAAATGTAATTTCGCTTCTCAAAAACGTTATATCTTTAAACTTGTCACATTAATGACATTGTTGAAGACCATTCATTGTTACTGTTGAATATGATGGCATCATGTAGGCTCTGAAGGACACTAATGAAAACATCCCGGGGATATTAAAAAGGTAGAGTAAGTTGTATGGGACAGATTAATTTGGCCTAAAATTGTAAAATTGCAATCCATATTTTGGACACTTATAATTTCTTGCAACTTAAGTTATTTTGAAAAGAAATCATTGTTTATATAAATAGGGCTGTAAATGGTAAAATATGCCACGTTTGGAGGAAAGGTCCTTATAGCTGTCGCAGATGTGACACAAATTTAGAAGTGCTATAACATTTTGAGTTATTTCTTCTACATATCTTTCAAAATTTTCTCTCATTGGCTGTTTTATTAACTTTCAAGAACTAAAAAATCTTGTTGCGTTGTCGAATCGCGTCCGGTGTATCTGGACCTTTAATTTTAAATATTCACACTAACGCGCGCAGAGTGTCAATTGAATTTGTGTCTGTGCTTGTCACTAGGCGATGTGTTAAACAAGTTGTGAGAAACCTGATTATCCGCTTTTAAGCTTAATGCGTCAGAACACGGTGAATTGACCAATTTCATATATTAAGTATGCAGGGAAACAAAATAGAACTCGGAGATTTTGAAAGCTTCGTTTTGCGGTGTTGAAGAGAAGAAATATGTAGCAAAAGATGTGAACTGCTATTGCTATTGGATGGAGATGTTTTCTATCATGTTAATGGTTGGCCAACCGAAATTGATTCTGTGGAAGAAGCCACTGTCAGATGAGAAAACATTTAAATGAATGTTATTTTTGTTGGGTAATGGATGTGGACCTCAGCTTACTTGTGAGTGGATCCTGACATCGACAAACTGGGATAGGCAGAAGACCAGAAAGAGATGTGATCAGATGAAGTGGATTTTTACCAATATGGATAGATATGCCGCCCATTGGTTCTATTTTGACATGTTCCACAAAATACATTTATATGTGAATGGCGAGGAGAGGAAAATAAAAAAACTAAAAGCATGAATCCATGATAAAGTACAGCCGTATTTCAGTAAATTTCCTGAAAGACAAACTGTAGGAATATATGATAGTGAATATGTAAGCGGTATTGACAATATATATTTAGTATGTTAAAATGTAACAAAATTTAATTTAGTATTAAAATGTAACGAAAATCTTTCCATGGCAGGAATTAATTGTTCGTTAGGCTTAACCGAGTTGTTTTAAATAAAAGTGAGTGCTAATGACCCTCACAAATGTGAACCTTTGCATGCATACAATGTCAATGTGGCATAACAATGCCAATTAAAGGATATGACGATCTTGTAGGAAGGTTTGATATAGCAAGGGTGTAAGATGGTGTATTTTTGTAAAGGTTCTCAGTCAGGTTAAGGACATTTTATATTGTAATTTGTATATAGGAAGAAACGAACAGTATATCATAGCAATATATTGCCAGTAATATTGTATGTTTAAGATATTTGGAAGGGTATATATGATAAATTAATAGGTTGCAGTGTGTTTGTTTAATAACCATGCATGCAGACATATAATTATATTGTGTATTTGTGAGATATAGGACGCGACGGTATATGCTGGGACGCAAGAGCATGAGATTATACAATATTATATATTGGCGGGAACAATAATATATTGCGGGTTATGAGAATGAAGAATCGTTATATGATTCATAGTTGACAGTATATATGATAAGATATATATTGCGAGTTTGTTTAAGGCATTTTATAGAATGATAGTAACAGCATCGTAACAGAATATAAGCGGTATACAGCTAGTTCAAAAAAGGTTGTCCTTCACTAACTATAAAACCTTAAACTCTAAACGGCAAAAGGGCAATGCCGGGAGCCTCAGTGTTTGCCTTTTCAGTCAGAAAGGCTTAATTGTCATAACTACTAACTCTTGACGAAGGGCCTTCGCTCGAAATGTTGAGTTTCTCATTTTTTAAGGTAGTAATATAACCACTCAGCACAGCATTTTCACTTTGGTACTACAAACACTGGTACATACAGTTTGATTAATTGTCATAATCCTTGTCCCATGCATACAGCCATGCAAGATTTACAATGGAGAGCGTTCCCATTGCACTTTTCGCCCTTAGAGTTTAAGGTCTAACGTTTAGAGTTTGGAAGGACAACCTTTTTTGAATTAGCTGTATATGAATGTAAGATATCGCCAGTTTGTCATGTTAAGTCTTAGTATAGGAACAGGAAATAATTCCTTGCATGTTCGATCATTTAAGAAAGACGCACAGAATATACGGTAATAATCCATATATGATTTATCATTTTTGTTGTGGTATATATATGAATATAAGATATCTTAGTATACTATAGGTTGTATGAAAGATGCAACAGAATATTTGCTAATAGGTAATATATTTATTGTGGGTTATTGACGAGAACAAAGAATCCATATATGATTTTCACAGTGGTATGTATATGAATCATAAGACATTGTGAATTTGTTTAATTAGTCTTAGTATAGGTTGTATGAAGGACGCAACAGAATATTTAACAGTTATTCTACGAACTCGAGTCGAATATGAGCTGATCGATATTCGACGAGAGTGAGTGGAATAACTGTTTTATTATATACACAAGGTCTGAATTCACAGACTTTGCTTTTCGAATATTTTCAATATTTTTTCTATTTTGTTTATGTTTTTATCTTCGGATTCTTCGCTCTTTCGGCCGATTATTTTTGCAAAAATATTTATTTTTAACCATTTTAAATTTAAAAAATTTATTTGCTAACCTGAAAACAATTTGTGGGAGTTTTTTCATTGTGTTTTTAATCCTGCGAAGGTTATAAAAAGCGACAACTTGCCGTTTTCTCGTTTGCAAAACATCGTAAATTCAGTTTGGCCGCCATTTTGTTTTTCTCTACTAGCAGGATATGAGCTAATATCCTGGTAGTAGAGAACCAATCAGATTGCAGAATACCTCATATCCAGACCTGTGTATATAATAAAGACCAATATACATTACATGTAGAAAGCGTCTTAAAATATATTCGAAATAATCCGGACCGTATTGATCGAGCGCCCAATTTACAGTTATTGCTGCGAAGTTTGGGACGTTAGTATATTCTTACTATTATTTGACGTATATATGTGGTAATATTACTTTATTAAATCTTTACACCTGGTCCATAGCTTGCACATATATAATATAGTTTTCTTATTACCTTTTGTACTACCATATTTTATATGAGTTTGTATACTACCATATTTTACAAACCTAATTAATAAAGTTTTATATCTTTTCTATGGCAAGGGAGGGTG